ATTCTTAATTTGCAAATAAAGCAAGAATCCAATTTAGTTTGTACTATGTTGTATCCCAAGTTGTTGTTGTTGTTATGGAAGGCATATCCATATAGACTGCACACCAAGCATATCTTGCTCAACAATTGTTAAGTACAATTGTTAAGTATAAAGCCAAATGTCAAACGAAATTAAAAACAAGAATGCAAAATTAATAATACGATTAAATGAGAGAGTTAATTAGCAAGTATCATAGAAGTTATTTTTAGTAAATACTGTTAAGCAAATATCACAGATTTCAATTATTTCAACCTATGTCTCTATAGAAGTGTATTCTAAAGTGCTTCAAAAATAATTGATAGTGGCTATGCAAAAAAAAAAGTTTTCAATGTATTATAGATGAAGCTGGGCTATATTGGAAGAAAAGGCCAGCTAGAACTTTGATTGCAAACGAAGAGAAATTTACAGCCGGATTCAAACCTATGAAGGATAGCATCATCTTATTTATAATTCAGAGAATCCTGGGGCTCTTGGAAACTTTAAAGCCTATCCTTCCAATTTGTTGCAAAAGGAATGCAAAAGCTTTGATCCATAGCAGCTGAATGATTTATTTATTTATTTATTTTTATCATCATCATCATCATGTACATAACAACACAGCACACATCCGCGTTAGGTCCAAGTGTGTGTTCTTTGTCTCTGAATACTGGGCTTTTCTTAAGCGCCTGGAATATTAGAGGTACTATTAGATTATTATTATTATTATTATTATTATTATTATTATTATTATTATTAACATGTACATCATAACACAGCACACATGCACATTTGGTCCAAGTGTCTGGGATTTGCCTCTGAATATTGGGCTCTTCCCAAGGTCCTATGATATTAGAAACATTATTATAATGATGAGGAGATATTAGAAATATAGATATTTATTGATTTATGCATAAAATCATATGTACTTTATAAGCACTGAAATGCATAGAAAAATCTAGTTCCCTCTGTGTATAGAAAGAATGCTAACGGACAAGCAAACTGCTTGTCTTCAGAAGGGGCTGAAGAGGGAGGGGTGACATTCCAGAGAAGAGAGATAAGCCTGTCCGAGAAGCCCATACTAAGGAGCAACGGGCTGGTACTAAGGAGCACCTCTTGACAGGTCAGAGAGGGCCCCTTTGATGGATGAGTGTAAGATGCTTGCTCTGCAGCAAGACACAGACATGCCCTTTTGCATGTGGAAGTTAGAACCTGATATTCTTATGATGCTCAGATGACGTAGGGATGATGATGATTGTATGTTGTAGCATGTTCTTTGTTTGCTTGAACCTGGAAAACTATAAAAGCCACAGTCCACACCTATTTCAGTTGCTCTGGTGTTTTTTGGGAGTTGACTCCACACCAGGCCCCAGCTGGTAAATAAAATCCATGCTTTCAAACCTCCGGACCTCTCTTTGTCTCTTTTCCTCAAAACCTATTCCTTGCCATTTCAATAATATAATATATTATTATATATTATATTAATTATTATATATATTTATTATTGCATTGTATATTATTATATTATATATTATTAAATTTACATGTACATAGCAACACAGCACACAAGTGAAATCGAGCAATTTAAGACAACCGCAGATAGTAAGATCAGGGCCTTGGATAGCAAAACCTGAAGGGTGGATACCGAGATCCAATAAGCGAATGCTGGTATTGGCAGCAGGCCACCCATGGATCTGTGTGCCTGGTGAGACATAGAAGCTACCCAGTGTTCCCAAATAAATCTCACCAAGTTGAAGAAGAAGCCACCGAGGTAATTTATTAAAATCAGATGAAGTGATGCCAGCTTGCGGTAATCCACCTAGGCTCTGTCGACGTCATGAACAGCTGAAGGAGGATTCCCTGCAGAGGCGGGTTTGTAGCCAATAGGATTTTGTTCCCTGCTATATATATATATATATATATATATATATATATATAGTCGTGTCAGGAGTGAGAGAACTGGCTGTCTGCAAGGACGTTGCCCAGGGGATGCCTGGATGTTTTGATCCTTTATCATCCTAGTGGGAGGCTTCTCTCGTGTCCCCACATGAGGAGTTGGAGCTGATAGAGGGAGCTCATCCGCACTCTCCCCAGATTCGAACCTATGACCTGTCGGTCTTCAGTCCTGCTGGCACAGGGGTTTAACCCACTGTGCCACCGGGGGCTCCATTTATTTAGATAATTTCTATCCTGTCCTTCTCATCTCCAAGGAGAGATTCAGGCTGCTAACAGGCACCCTTCGGTGCCAAACAATACACAACATAAAATACATTTAATCGCCAATAAAAACAGTTATAAATACATAAAAAACATTTTGCCATTTCATATCATCCTCCGAATAATCCACAGCCATTCGTTCAATAGTCAATTAAAATCATCTTCAGTCCATTGCCATCCGCAAAACCAGTCCATTAAAACCCTCTATCTAGGGAATGCTTGATCCCATAACCAGGTTTTTTAGCTTTTTCTGGAAGGCCATGAGGGAGGGGGCAGATCTAATCTCATTCGGGAGGGAGTTCCACAGCCAAGGAGCCACCACTGAGAAAGCCCTGTCTCTCGTTCCCACCAACCGTGATTGAGATGGTGGTGGGACTGAGAGCATGGTCTCTCCAGACGATCTTAAGGTCCTTGGGGGTTCGTAGAGGGAGATACATTTGGACAGGTAAGCTGGACCAGAGCCGTTTAGGGTTTTATAGGTCAAGGCCAGCACTGTGAATTGTGCTCAGAATCTAATAGGCAGCCAGTGGAGCTGGCTTAACAGGGGAGATGTACATTCCCTGTACCCTGCTCCTGTGAGCAGCCTGCCTGCCGAGCATTGGACTAGCTTAAACTTCCGAGTAGTCTTCAGATTCCCGCTCTCCAATGGCTGATGGGGGGCAGGGTTGTCTGGGAGACAAAGGAAGTGTGAAGAGGTCTTAATGGGACAAACAAAGGGGGTCATCAGGTCCCATGTGTTTTATTATAAAGATAATTGTGATATGAGTCCCCAGCGAATAAGTCCAGCACCTTTGGCCCTGCTGTCCATTGAGTCAAAAGCATAGATATTGTCCATGTTGACAGGATTAAGCAGGTTGTTCCTGGGAAAGGGGAAATGTTATTGTTATTGTATATGCTGGTCTTGGCCTATAAAACCCTATACGACTCCGGCCCAGCTTACTTGTCCGAACGTATCTCCTTCTACGTTCCACCTTGTAGTTCAAGATCAACCGGCGAAGCCTGCTCTCGGTCCCACCAGCTTCACAAATGCGTCTGGTGGGGACGAGGGACAGGGCCTTCTCAGTAGTGACCCCCCACTTGTGGAATTCACTCCCCAGCAAAACCAGGTTGGCTTCTTCCCTCCTTTCCTTTAGGAAAAAACTGAAATCATGGTTTTGGAACCAGGCCTTTGTCCAGCAGGCATGATAGCACTTTGGACATCGAACTGGACTATATGACTGTGATAATAATGGAAATGACTATATGACTGTGATAATAATATTTAATTGTTTTTAATCTATTGCTCTATTTATTGTTTTATATTGCTGTAATTTGTTATATTTGCGGCATCAAATTGTTGCCAGTGTAAGCCGCTCTGAGTCCCCAGGGGTTGAAAAGAGCTGGGTAGAAATGTTGCAAATAAATAAATAAATAAATAAATTGTTGGACAGTGGGGCATGACCTCCCTGTGTACAGATAGTCATGCCAGGTGATGGGTGACATTGTACTGTCCCAGTGACTGAGGCAAAGGACGGGTGGCCCTGCGAATGCCAAGAAGAATGCCAAGGAATGTTGCATTCAAATCACCCCTGACAGATGGCCATCCAGCCTCTGTTTAAAAGCTTCCAAAGAAGGAGCCTCCACCACACTCCGGGGCAGAGAGTTCCACTGCTGAATGGCTCTCAGAGTCAGGAATTCTTCCTCATGTTCAGATGGAATCTCCTCTCTTGTAGTTTGAAGCCATTGTTCCGCGTCCTAGTCTCCAGGGAAGCAGAAAACAAGCTTGCTCCCTCCTCCCTGTGGCTTCCTCTCACATATTTATACATGGCTATCATATCCCCTCTCAGCCTTCTCTTCTTCAGGCTAAACATGCCCAGCTCCTTAAGCCGCTCCTCATAGGGCTTGTTCTCCAGACCCTTTATCATTTTAGTTGCTCTCCTCTGGACACATTCCAGCTTGTCAATATCTCTCTTGAATTGTGGTGCCCAGAATTGGACACAATATTCCAGGTGTGGTCTAACCAAAGCGGAATAGAGGGTAGCATTACTTCCCTAGATCTAGACACTATGCTCCTATTGATGCAGGCCAAAATCCCATTGGCTTTTTTTGCCGCCACATCACATTGTTGGCTCATGTTTAACTTGCTGTCCACGAGGACTCCCAAGATCTTTTTCACACGTACTGCTCTCGAGCCAGGCATTGTCCCCCATTCTGTATCTTTGCATTTCGTTTTTCCTGCCAAAATGGAGTATCTTGCATTTGTCACCGTTGAACTTCATTTTGTGAGTTTTGGCCCATCTCTAATCTGTCAAGATCCCTTTGAATCCTGCTCCTGTCCTCTGGAGTATTGGCTCTCCCTCCCAATTTGGTGTCGTCTGCAAACTTGATGATCCTGCCTTCTAAGCCCTTCATCTAAGTCATTAATAAAGATGTTGAACAGGACCGGGCCCAGGACAGGACCCTGCTTATGGCACTCCACTTGTCACTTCTTTCCAGGATGAAGAGGAAGCATTAGTGAGCACCCTCTGGGTTCGTCCATTTAACCAATTACAGATTACAATATACAGATAATATATTATTATCACTGTATTATATATCCATTATTATTATTATTAATTTAAATGTACATAACAACCCATTTTAAACACTGGCCTTTTTATCCCTTTTAACACCAGGCAGGCCTTTCCTTTCCAGTCTTGGGTTTGTCCAGCCTGTGTTAAAAATGCCCTTGCTTTCAGGCCCTGGCATTGCAAAGCACCGCTTTCCGCCGAAGTTTGAGCCCGGCGCCT